TTCTGAAATCATATTGACTAGCTTCAGCATGCATGCAGACTCCAGAGTCGCGGAGGACGACGGATTGATTGACATTTTATGGCCTACATGGTGCGTGAGTGCTGACGTGGTGGAGTGCATGGCGGCAGGTGGACGGACGATTGAGCTAGCATAGTGACCTGATTGACATTTCTCATCTGGGCAGTTCGTACGTGAATCTTCTTGCTCTTGGCCTGCAGGCATCGTGGCACACAGTGACGCGACCTTTTCTTTTCTGAAACACCCAGTCGATTTTCATTAAAGAAACCACCAAATGTCCTACGTACAATAAAGAGAGCAAAAGGCAAAAAGAGCCTAATAAAAAAAGACTAGAACAACAAAGTTCTGGAGGGATAGCTTCTGCTATCAGAGACGATCTTTGGAAAATTCTATGTCCCCAAAAAATTCATGTGTTTTTTATGGCTGTGTGTCCTCAACAAAATCCTAACTAGAGATAATCTTGCAAAAAGGAGAGAAGTAGAGGATCCATCTTGTCTTTTCTGTGCTGAATATGAAACTATCCAACATTTGCTATTTGACTGTGTGGTTGCTCAATATGTATGGAACTTTGTCTCTGACTTCTTTGAGATTGATAGAATCACTAACTTTGAAAAAATATATGCCTTCTGGCATGTGCATAAGAAAAAAAACCTGTGCTGAATATGGTGATTGCTGCTACCTTGTGGAGCTTGTGGAGACTGAGAAACAACTTTTGTTTTCAGGGACAGAAGTGGAAAAACGTGAACTGCATTCTCGCAAAACTAAGCTGCTATTTACATCTGTGGAAAGTTCTCTGCGACGATGCTCAAGCAACCCTGTTTCAATGATGCATTCTTTGGACAAGCGGCGTGGAGAACTGATGCGAATCGCGTGGAAATGAGACAAGGAGGGGCCACCTGAGCTGGAGGAATGGTGAGGTTGAAGCTGGTGCTCTCACGCAAACCTCTTTTTACCGGTGTCGGGATGTACCCGTGGTCCTCCCGCCAATAGGATGCTGCCAACTCAAAAGTAGTATTTCTGTATTTCACTCTTTCCTTCATTTAAGGCATCATATTTAATCAGATGGGCCCACCCACGTGACATCAGCCATGTGACACCCACGTGACTTCAGCCTTGTCCCAGGCTTTCCAGGTACGATTGAGGCATATCTCTCACTTCCCAAGTCCAGATACAGAACATGTCATTTTTCAACCGATCAAGTTTTCTCACATTAAACTTATTTGAATTTTTTTATAAAGTAGATATGAATTTGAAAAAAAAAGAACATTTCACTTAATTTCCAAATCTAATTTCAGCTCGTTTAGAAAAAAACATATTTCAATCCTTTCAGAAATCTATTTCAAAAAAGAGTGAAACTTTGTATTTCAAAAGTGTTGCATAAACATTTTTATCTTTTTACAAAGTGATTTCATTTATTCCAATTCCAATTTCATTTTTCACAAGTGAAATTGATTGTTCAACCATGAAAGTCCTGATTTCAATTCTTCAAAAATATGATTTCAATCCTTTCAAAAACAAATATCTTTACAAAAGACCGAAACATAGCATTTCAAAAGGTTCACATGAACATTTTTTTATATTTTATGAAGTGATTTTAGTTATATTTTATATTTTTTGCCAAAACAACTCAGCTACACATAGCTATTTCAATTCATACCTAACTGAAATATCATTTCAAATCTTTCAAAAAAAATATTGCAGTCCTTTTAAGAAGCATATAACACTTGCATAGGCTAAAATAGTCTAGTTACACTACATTGTAATATAAATTTCACATATCTATGTGTAGCTGAGGTATGTAAGTGATGTATATTTCTGTATTTCACTAAAGTAATTACATATATTTTCAGGGAAGTAATTTCATACATTTCAATACATATATGACTGAAATAACAAATTACATATATGACAAATATCAGTTTCATATTTTTCAGAGATCTAATTCCATATATTTTCACAGAAATTAGTTTCACAACTTGTAACAACACATTGAAATATATTGCAGGGAAGTAATTTCATACATTTCAATATATATATGACTGAAATAACAAATTACGTATATGACACATAGCAGTTTCATATTTTCCAGAGATCTAATTTCATATATTTTCACAGAAATTAGTTTCACAACTTGTAACAACACATTGAAATATATTTCAGGAAAGTAATTTCATATTTCCCAATACACAACTCACTTAAATAACAAATGCCAGATAAGAGGAACAACAGTTTCATATATTTCAAAGAAGTAATTTCATATATTTTCACAGAAATTAGTTTCACAACTTGCAACACCACATTGGAATATATTCCAGGGAATTTCTCAATACATATATCACTGAAATAACAAATGACAGATAAGAGAAATAGCTGTTTCATATTTTTCATAGATCTAATTCCATATTTTTTCCAGTTTCACATTGAAATCTCACAGAAATTAGTTTTGCAACTTGCAACAACACATTGAAATCCCAGTTTCACATATTTTGCACATCTCAACTACACATAGCTATTTCAATTCAAATCTCACTGAAAAACATTACAATCTCATTAAAAATCATTCCAAATCTCACTGAAAGTCATTCAAATCTCACTTCGACATACTAAAGTAATCCAGTTTCACCAGATTGAAATATAAATTTCACATTGTGCCACAAACCATTTCACATTAGTTTGTTTCACAACTAGCAACACCGCATTCAAATATATTACAGGGAAGTAATTTCATAGATTTTGGTCTCTTTCAAAAAACTACAACACATGCTCTCTGTCACAAACATTCAAAAATCCTGAAATTGAAGTGGCAGAGGAGGCTGGCGATCTGGTGGTAAAGAAACATAGAGTGTTCAAATCATGCTAAATAAACCTGAAATCCTGAAATACATATGGAGAGAGGTTAGGGGAGATGGGATTCATGACTCGCCAGATCCGGAGACACCAAGGGCTACAACGGCTGCCGGGGCAGCAAGGATGCCGGTGGACGGGCTTCTGGTTGGCGGGATCGAGGAACCTCGCCGGATCAGCCACCCCCGACGGCCAGTGGATCCGGCCCCTGCTCCTCGCCGGCCTCATGGTACCGCCGCGCCGCCGCCGGCCTTCTATGTGCCCCCCGCGGTAGGTGCCAGCAGTGGAACCCGAATCCGGTGCCGGATGTTGGTGGAGAAGGCGGATCTCACGGCGGCCATAGCCGGGATTAACCACCGAGCCCCATGGAACGAACTGACGAGAGATGGGGTGGGGAGAAAGGAGATCGATGCGGGAAGGAGACATCGGCGTGGGGTTAATATCCTGTCTGTCGTGGGGTCCATCACGTATTTGCAGTTGTATACAGCTTGTATCCTGGAATCTGAGGTGGAAATAAAAAACTAGTAAGGTCCACCCGCACAGATCTACAAGCACCGAGGGATGGTGGATTGAGCACCGGTACATCCCCGCTCCGGTAAAAAAACTTAGTCGGGTGCTCTCATCTGAAGATCCTCTTTGGCTTCGCTTTTGGCTTTCTCACGCTCATGAGGTCTATAATAAATAAGGTTAAGATAGCTTTATGTGGAGAGAACTTCTGCTCTCAACTCTAGGTGATGTATTCCCCTGTACTCTCAACTCTGGGTGATGTATTCCCCTGTAGCATAGCTTTTATCCCCTGATAGTGCAAGACTGTTGTAGTTATGTTTTAGTATTAGGTACATACGTAGCTAGACAAATCTAAGACAATTTTTTTGAGACGGAGGGAGTATGTAACTTGACTGAATTTACAATTTGGGTAAATCGATTTGTTGGAAGGAGGAACCGTTGGAGGAGGAAAAATGCTGTACTTAGAAGAAACAAGAAAAAAATCGATTTACCAAATAAATAAATAAATCAGGCAACAATACCTATAGCCGATCGATCCCGTGCCAGGAGCAAACCAAGAAGAGAGATCACCAAGAAGCGTCAGCAACAGCACGCACAGTGCAGCCTGCAGCGCACGTGGCCGTTGGCGGACTTGTCCGGTCACGCGCAAACGGCCACGAGGACTACCGCGACGGCGACGGCGCACACGGCAGAGCGCGACATGTCCGTCGATCGATCAAGGTCGTGCAAGCATGCACGCGTTTCTTGAGCGACAACTGACAAGCGAAACGACGGTAGGAGTTGAGCTAGCTAGCTGCTACCTTGACATTTCTTCTCAAGTCCTTGTCGACCGCCACACGAGTGCCCTATTGGCTAGTTTCAGCATGCACCCAGGGTCGACGAGAGCGACGGCCCGACATGTTTTTTGGCGTGCTGGCGTAGTGCAGGCGCGTACAACTGCAGTTGATTTCTGGCTTTTGGCACGAGCTTGCGACCAAGTTGACACGAGGGTGGCAGGTGAGCGAAAATCCCCCGCTTGGAACGACGCTGACAATGCTGCCGCCAGAAACAACACTGGCAATGTATGCAAATCTTTTTCGCAGAAGTAGTGTACGTATCCTCCTGGCCTTTGCATCAGTCGATGCACACAACAAATTATAGGCTATATATATAGCTCGTATGCCGGCGTAAATCTGGTGATTCATCATTTGTTTACGTTCTCTTTCTGAAGCCATTCATAGGTTGGACCATATTAAATCACCTTGTACTCACAGAGAGTCGCCCACGATGGTTGGGTGGAAATTCACCGGATGGTTGCTGATGACTTGCGGTTTAGACTTCAAAGATGCACATGAACACGTGCACTCCACGACAGTCAACATACTCGTCTTGCGTACACGGGATGGATCGATGCCGCAGAAAACCCATTGGAAGAACGGGTGACAAGGACACCACCACCTACTCCATCACTTGTGTCTATTGTGATTTCACTTTCATCGACTTGTTTTGTTTCAAGAAATTTTTGTGTGCGCCTTGACATCTTCCTTTCTTTTCCAAACCGAGACTGTCATGAAGACAAAAAAGAAAAATGGAACAAAAAACAAAATACATCCAGAGACAGTGATTTCCAAACAACACATGAAGTCTGAATATCATCTCCCCTCTATCTCGGTAAGAGTAACACTGTTCACGGAAGTCTGAATCTCATCTCCGATTGGCACCGCTTCAACGCTCCGTCGCACAAAGTATGCAGGGCGATCCGGGGCTGGAAGTGTGGTGCTTCCGTTCTCTAAGACGAAGACAACTGATGACATGAGGGGCCTATCATCTGGGTTGTCTTGGACACACAGTAGCGCTACATGGATGCAAAGCAATACTTCGTCTAGTGAACATGTGTTCATGATCGACGAGTCTGGCAGTTTCTCTGTCTCCCCTTCCTTCCACATATTCCATGACTGAAATGACCAAGAACACCGTATCATTTTTGTTTTGTTTTTTGAAGAAGATATAACTTGAGAGAATTCTTGTGTATATACTCACATAGAGTATGAGGCTAGGGAAGCCCATCGTTTGTCTATTGGAGTTCCTCCTAATGCCGGTCACAACCTCCCGTAGTAACACACCGAAATTGTAGACATCGGTCTTGGTAGAGAAGACACCCTCCATTGCGTACTCAGGAGCCATGTAACCACTGCTTTATTATTTCGATTGCAAAAGTTATTGAATCGGAGCAGAATTGATTCAAAATTTAATAGGATGTTTTCAAAGGATGCTCACTATGTTCTGACAACACGTTGGGTATTTGCATTTTGTTGGTTATCTCCAAAGATCCTTGCCATCCCAAAATCCGCTATCTTGGGTTTCATCTCTGCATCTAGCAAAACATTTCCAACTTTAAGATCTCTGTGAATTATGGTTAATCTTGAATCTTGGTGTAGGTAAAGAAGTCCCCTTGCAACTCCTTTGATTATACTAAACCGTGTTTCCCAGTCGAGCAACATTTTTCTTGAATCATCTGTATATAGAAGGAAATGTGAGAACGATTTTTTCAGTATTTTTTGTGAAATTATGGTGTGTTTTTATAATATTTACCAAAAAGGGTGGCATCTAAGCTCTTGTTAGCTAGATACTCATAAATTAGAAGTTTTTCATCTCCCTCCGAACAACACCCGAGCAGTTGAACCAAGTTTCTATGCTGCAATTTGGCAATTAGAATTACTTCATTCTTGAACTCCTTTGTTCCCTGTTTAGAATCCCTACTCAGCCTCTTGACGGCAACTTCTTAACCACCTAACAATCCCTGAGAATTTAAAGGTAAAACGTAGCTGTCCGTTACATTAGCTCTCAAATCTCTTGATTATAGAATGAATGGTCAATTATTACTAAGTGTGTTACCTTGAAAACTTTGCCAAAGCCACCTTGTCCTATCACACATGTTTCAGAGAAATTGTGTGTTGCTCGTGCAATTTCCTCAAACGTTACAAATGGGAATTCATGATTGTGTTCAGGGTGTACTTCCCCAAGTTCATGTGAGGTACTCATTGGATCCAGCAATACATTCTTGTGTTTTCTCCCATTTTCTTTCTTGCCTGCACTCACAATGTATCACCATTTCACCTCTAAAGGTTTATGATAGACATAGAAAAAACAGGTTGCTTTACCCCTAAAATCACTTGTGTCAGTCTATTATTTCTGTTATGAACTCAGAAAATTTAGAGAAAATAATCTATGGTCTACTTCTCTCATTGTGGAAACCATGGAGTTAACAATATGGTCACCGCTTGACATATAAGATAAAGTACACATGTTAGAAGAAACATAATTTCTCCCTTGATTAAACACGTCAATTTTCGAGTCCATAATACTGTGGCCACACATCACACTTGTTTTCCGCAAGCATCTCCATGCTGCGTAGGTTTCTGTAGCATACACTTGTACTTTTCAATCTTACACTTAAGTCCAAGGTTAAAAACAACGCTAGGCTTAGACGAGGCAGTTATTCGCTCTAGTTTTATGCGTCGATATCAATATTTGTATGCCAAAGGTACATTACAATAGTACACACAAAACTTAGGGAAGCAAATGTGAAGTACCTTTGTAGTGGAAAAAACACTAAGCATACCTTTGAATTTGAACCATGCCAACCAAATGCATATGAGTACTATAACACTACTTCCTAACAGTGCTAGCACAATCTTCACTGCATTACTCTTTCTTCTTTTACCTGTGCAAGACATGAATCGATACATATCATATGAAAACAATAGTGACAATTTTCTAGCACAAGAGAAATAATTTTCCAGAGGTGGAGGGGTTTGGCACCAGATGTTGCATTCAATCCTGCAAGTCGGAGATAGAGCGTGTCACTTCCCAACTCTTCACCTATTTTCCCCGTGTCAACCAACTCCCCGAACCAGACCAAGCACCTCGTCATGTTTCTCTTGGACCCGCTGCTGCTTAAGTTGGCATGTGAGTATGCAACACAAGAGCAGTTGCGGTTGCATTCTGTTGCACACTCCTCAAATGTACTCCTACCGCCGCCGATAAGCGAATACTTGTCAGGCGACTTCATCCCTGTCAAGGCCAAGAAGCCATTATTGCACCCTCGTAGTGGCTCCGTTCGTTGGCACCCTGCTGAAAACTTGCCACCTGTCCACTCCACTGTGTTTGCCGGCTCGAAGCCGTGGAGGTACTTGCATGTCGGGACGGGCACCGATGTCTCATCGCAGTACCCGTACATGCCGCAATAGCCGTAGTGGTTACATTCGAGGGACAACCATTTCCCACGAACTACCCATGCCGATCTGTTACTACTCCAGCTCTGGATTTGGAACACGCCAAAGTAGGTCAGCACGTACCTAGTGTGTGGGGCACCATCAGAGACGCTATAGGTAGTATAGATCTCATCGTCGCCATCGACGACCGCCAGGTAGATGATGACATCTTCACTGCCATTTGCCTGCTGGTACCGAAGCTCGCTCTTCACCAGGTACCCCGTCCATGGAGTGCTACGAGACACCGGACGCTCTCCTTCCCATAAGAATATTTGAGGGAATGTGCTCGTGTCACCACCATAGGAGAAACGCCCCGGCGAAGGGTCACTAGGACCCTTCTAGGATACCAGGCGGTCGCTGGTTCCATTTTCATGTACTTGAACCGGAGCTTCATGCCAGGAAGGAACGTGTCGGTGTAGTGCTCGAAGCTCTACCACAGCGTGGTGCCGTTTACGGAGCGGATGACAAGGTTGCTGGTGTTTAGAAGCACCGCCATGGGGGAAAAGAGCCCATGGCAGTACCCATCACTAGTAGAAAAGGGGGCAATGGTCCAGGCCGGGTCAGCCCATTAGTCCCGGTTCAATCCAGAACCGGGACCAATGGGGGCATTGGACCCGGTTCGTGAGCCCCGGGGGCCGGCCGGGCCATGTGGGCCATTGGTCCCGGTTCGGCTGGACCTATTGGTTCCGGTCGGTGGGACGAACCGGGACCAATGCGCATCGCTCCTGGCCCACCACCATTGGTCCCGGTTGGAGGCTTGAACCGGGACCAAAGGCTGCCCTTTAGTCCCGGTTCGTGGCACGAACCGGGACGAATTAGTTGCATATATCTACCCCGCGAGCAGAGCACTCCCAGTTCTCTGTTTTTCGTGGCCGGCGAGGGGAGAGCTTTGTGGTGCTCTAGCTCACCTCCTATGCACACGAGGTGTTCGATGGAATGCCCGAGCCACACTACTTAAGCTTTCTCCTCTCCAAGCTCGACCTCCAAGCTCCATTTTCCTCAATATTTGTCTAGGTTTAGCGGTCCGTCACGTCCCGTCCCCGTCTTCACCGCCGTCGATCGCCCGCGCCGATCTCGTCGCCGGCACCACCGTGGTGAGCCTCTTGTTCTTATCTTCTTTCTGAAAGGAAAAAAAATTCTTACTTGTATATTTATATAGATACTTGTATAATTTTCTTACTTTTATTATTGCATCTTATATAGTGCGATGGTTTTGGTATCCGCCCCCGTCGGCCCTCGTCCTGTCTATGATTCAGATGTGGTATATATTATCTTTTCATAACTATTGGTTCATTTATTGTTTATGACAATTATGCCGACCAACGTGACATAGATTTTATTTATCTAGGAGGTTGTTGAACCGGAAATTCCAACCGACCCTATTGTGAGAGGTTAAATTTAGTTGAAGAAGAAAACAATTTGTTGAAGGAAAAAATTAGAAAAATTGAGGAGGAGAAGATGATATTGGAGTTGGATGTTGCGGATGTCGTCGATGATCACAAGATCAAGATGGATGCAATGCGCTTGAAGATTAGAAAGATTAGAAAATATGTCATTCATACCGAGGCTTGGTATCATTATGCCGTTGGATCAGTTGTTACATTGGTTGCGATTATGATCGCATTTGTTTTCGCATTGCAATGTTTTACATAGTTTCAATGTATGGTTTAATTAATTTAGATGCTCTGCAGAGCTTTATGTTGTTAGATGAGAACTATGTATGTACTTTGGTTTTAATGTGATGATGAATTTCTATTAATTCGGTCACTTAATTATCTATTCATGATGTTTTGTAATGATTTTTGACACACTTAATTATATATAATGCACGCAGATGAACCGGCAATGGATGTACGGTTCAAGACACACCTCCGAGTACATTAAGGGCGTGCATGATTTTCTCGAAGTGGCTGAGGCAAACATGAAGAATGGTTTTATGTGTTGTCCATGCCCTATATGTGGGAATACGAAGTCTTACTCTGACCGGAAAATCCTCCACACCCACCTGCTTTACAAGGGTTTCATGCCACACTATAATGTTTGGACGAGGCACGGAGAAATAGGGGTTATGATGGAAGACGGCGAAGAAGAAGAGTACGATGACAACTATGTGCCCCCTGAATACGGTGATGCTACTGAACATCAAGAGGAACCAGACGATGTGCACGATGATGCTGCAACGGGCGAAGCTGCTGAAGATCAAGAGGAACCAGACGATGTGCCCGATGATGATGATCTCCGCCGGGTCATTGTCGATGCAAGGACGCAATGCGAAAGTCAAAAGGAGAAGCTGAAGTTCGATCGCATGTTAGAGGACCAAAAAAAAGGGTTGTACCCCAATTGCGAAGATGGCAACACAAAGCTCGGTACCGTACTGGAATTGCTGCAGTGGAAGGCAGAGAATGTTGTGCCTGACAAAGGATTTGAGAAGCTATTGAAAATATTGAAGAAGAAGCTTCCAAAGGATAACGAATTGCCCGACAATACATACGCAACAAAGAAGGTCGTATGCCCTCTAGGATTGGAGGTGCAGAAGATACGTGCATGCCCTCATGACTGCATCCTCTTCCGCGGTGCGTACAAGGATCTGAACGCATGCCCGGTATGCGGTGCATTACGGTATAAGATCAGACAAGATGACCCTGGTGATGTTGACGGCGAGCCCGCCAGGAAGAGGGTTTCTGCGAAGGTGATGTGGTATGCTCCTATAATACCACGGTTGAAACGTCTATTCAGAAACAGAGAGCATGCCAAGTTGATGCGATGGCATAGTGAGGACCGTAAGAAAGATGGGAAGTTGAGAGCACCCGCTGACGGGTCGCAGTGGAGAAAAATCGAGAGAAAGTACTGGGATGAGTTTGCAAGTGAGCCAAGGAACGTATGGTTTGCTTTAAGCGCGGATGGCATTAATCCTTTCGGGGAGCAGAGCAGCAATCACAGCACCTGGCCCGTGACTCTATGTATGTATAACCTTCCTCGGATGTGCATGAAGCAGAAGTTCATTATGATGGCAGTTCTCATCCAAGGCCCTAAGCAACCCGGCAACGACATTGATGTGTACCTAAGGCCATTAGTTGAAGAACTTTTACAGCTGTGGAATGGAAATGGTGTACGTACATGGGATGAGCACAAACAGGAGGAATTTAACCTAAAGACGTTGCTGTTCGTGACCATCAACGATTGGCCCGCTCTCAGTAACCTTTCAGGACAGACAAACAAGGGATACC